TCACAGAGTAATTTGCCATAGTAACTGACTCTGAGTTTAGATTACCTCTCTTTGTGAAACGGGTTTAACTTACCCCGCTTCACGGGTTTAAGTTACCTCCGTTTCTGAAACCGAAAACTCCGAGTTGCCCTCATTTCGGGGTTAACAAACTCTGAGTTTCGACAAAACCGCCTTCTTGAAATAGGCCCCAGTTCTATTGTGGGTAGTCCCCTCGACCCAGTGCAGGTCATGGATTGCAGGAGGATGTTAGCCAAGCTAACATCCCTGCTTGAGGCCCCACACACTACAGACTGTACTGCTGTGAATGCTCAGCGTAACAGTGTGCAATATTAGCTTTACTTTTTTTTGTTGTTGGTTTTATTGACAATGCCTTATCTATTACTGTTTATTCATAACACTGAATACCTTGTTTCTCTCCCTCTGCCACTGTAGCTTTGTGAATTTCACCACTGTGGAACTAATAAAGGTTAATCTTATTGTATATTAAAATAATATTATTAATGCTCTGTAACGTTACTAACCTAAATGTACAGTCAAAGCTCTCAGGGTGTTAAAGAAGATAAACCAAGTTCTACTCAATTATAACATACTCTATTTGAATCTGTTTGAAAATGTTTTGCATCATATTTGTATGGGAGAATTATAGTTTTGTTCTTTCTTTCTTCTGAATCTGTTAAAACCACAGCACAAAAGTAATGTTTTTAGAGATGAATTCTGAGAGATCTCCCTTTTTTTCTGGTCTGTATCTCACTTCCCCCCCTTGTCTCTTCAACCTTCACTTTCTCTTTTGACATGAGACAGTGTAAGGCATAGAGGAAAAAATGAAAGCAATCACCTCCTCACAGGAGTGGGAGTGAGCGGCGTCCTCTGGGTGAGCAAGCACGATGTTTTTGTGGGCTGCGGAAGCTTTCTAGTATCTGCTCAGTTTTGCAGCACAACAGCTGTTACAGGAGTTATAAACAGTTCTGTTCTGTGTCCATATTGCAAACACAGACCCAGGACATTGGCTGCTAGTGTTGTATAACAGACCACGAAGAAGCAACAGAGAAAAGTGGGAAAACAGAATATAGTGATCCATCACTCATGAATATTTTAAAGGGTCTTCTGTTATGTGACGAGGAAGAAGAAGAAGACAAAGACATTTAATGCCATACTTTAGTACAGTTGCAGTGAGGAAAAAAGGACAAGAGCACACACTCTGAGACTTATTCCCAAGAAGGAACATAGTTTAGGGATTTTTTTCCATATTTTTAAAAAAAATCTCACTTTCATTTCAGAAGAGAAGGAAAGCTGCTGAGTGCTTTTCTGTGGGACTTAATCTTGGTCACTGGACAGTTCTGACTTCCTCTTGTTTGTATAGCAGTGATGACGTGACACAAATAATTGTGTCACCTCTAGGACTTCATGTCAGTTCATCTTTAATAAGTGTCTGTGAATCTCTGAATGTGCAACGAACATGTTTTTATTTTTATTTCAATATTTAACTACTGGACACTTGTCTGAAAAGTTAATTCTCATTATACTGCATATTCACTGGAGGCTTCCAGATTCCACATTAGACTTGTTTAAGTTGCAACTAATGGATCTCCAAACTATTTTGAATGCCACAAAGTTGTGACAAAAATATGTATGTTTACTGTACGTCCTTAACTCAGATGAGCACTAGATGAGCTAAGGTGAGCACAGAAAACCCTTCTTTTTTCATGTGGTTGAGGTCTGAGGTGAACTAAATTAATTCATGCAAATCATCCCAATGATTATTTATTATTACAATAATTATAAGCAGTTCAATAATTTGAAAGGGCAATTCAACAGTCTGAAAGATAGGGAACAGAATCACCGTCTCTGCGTAGAAATAAATAAAAGTATTAGATAAGAGAATTGTCAAATAGCCAGTCAGTCATTGTTGGTGATACAGTATAGTCAGTCCAGAGTCGGGTCAGTTCCCCCCCACCTGGCTGGGTCCGAACGCACACTCACTCCATCACTCTTCTGTCCCATCCGCTTCCTGTCTCATGCTTTTATTTTGATACTACTTCCTGTCCCCAGCTCACCCTGACTCCTGGGTACTTTATCTCATCACCCAGACTGGTTTCACCTACTTCTCATTAATCACACCTGGTTACAATAGCATATAGGCAGCTTCTCACCCTGTCTGACAATTTTTGGAGTAAAGGGGACTCTTAAATTTGTAGTGTATCTTACCTCTCATGGGAGCTTCTTGGTCTGTGAAAACAGTTGCAAAATGTCCTCTATGGCTCTGGGTTGTCAAATCTTATGATAATTACTGAGTTATATTATGGGAAAACACACATTAATCAACACCACACAAATGGAACATTTAGAATTTTAATATACAGGTTTCAAGATAAAGTCCTGTGATTAACAAAGGGACAGACTTTTTGGCTATATAAAAGCTATTTAGAAACCAGTGACTAGACTTGGAGACAATAGTGGTCGTGTGCTTACATTTTCAGGTATCAAATACAGACACGTTGCTCAGAGTGAAGAGGGTACTCACAAAGTTCATAATAAACATCTCACTGACTGATTTACAAGAATCACTTCAATAGTTTGAACCACGTTACTACACACAGCCATTTAGAATGAGCTATACTCCCAGAAATATGCAGAAAAAAGGCTTATCAGGATTACGAGTCGGTTTACACTTGAGTCTCATTGAAAACTGGGGGGAAATTCAGTCTTTAGCACACTGAGTTGAAGTGATTTAATGGGGAAAAGCTGGGCTGGTGCAAGGGGATAAACTGAGATCTGATCAGCCCACAATACCGATAATGATGGTAATAAAAAGAGTTGTCAATCAGGCTGTGGGGCATTGTGTTGCAGAGCTGCTGTGTTCTTGCTCATTTCTTCAATTGACTTGAAGAACTGCAGGCAGCACCAACTAGAGGCTACATCCTGCTGGATCTCTTGGAGGTCATAAAGAGGAGTTAAAATTCCTGCTGCATCCTGCACTGGTAGGAAAACAACGCCTTTATCTACAGCTTCTCAATATAGTGAAAATGTATATTATGAGTATTACTGGCCCTAGGTGCTGTCAGACCTTTTTTAATTTTTGTTGTAATATTTTTCATATATTAATGGGGCTGAAGTTAAACTGACATCGATGCTCAGACACCCAGAGATAGTGGGCTACTACCACAAGAGCACGAGAGACAGACACAGAGAAGGTGTTTGGCAGTGCAGAATCATATGCAAAAGATTCATTGCAATATACAGTATACCAATAAACATCACACCTGGCTCATCACAGAGTTCACCACCACTAATTTTAGTTAGAAATATTTAAAGAAACAGATTTTTATACAACGTTAAAAAAATTAAAGGCATTTAAGAGTTATTTTGGTAATCCTCTACACACCTCGGTAAAATATCTGATAAAACAAATGTTTGGGCTGTTTTCTTTATAACTTCAGTTACCTGCATTGTTATAAGCTGTAATGGGTGTGAACCTTGTTTTGACCAGGTCTGATTAGTAGGTTTAAGAAAACAGATTTACAATACATATGTAAATTTATGCGCTGTGAAAAACGTTTCTTTGGTTCTCTTTAAAAACTCAAGCAAAGAAATTGTGAAGGTATTAGAGGTCAAGAATGAAAGAGTTTTTGTTGACATTGTGAAACTGTTTGCTGGGCCCCATCCCCTTACTTATAGTTGCTTCTACAGTACATATTTTACAATAACAGTGGTAGATTTACCACTCTGGATTATTACTAATTATTGCCACAACCGGTCCTTCGTTTCAGAAGTAGACAAACAGAAAAAAGCAACTGGCAACTGTTGATTTTATCGACTTTGTTGACTTACCTAACTTGGCAGTCTCTGGAGTGTTTTTAGTCTTTCTCTCTGACTCCTTTTAAAATCAGAACCTACTCCTGCCTCACCCCATCAGAGCCCAATAAACGCCTCTCATGACACCACTTCAGAACGTGGAGAAATGCTGAGTTGATAAAACTGCTGTACCAGTTACAGTTGTTGGGCTAGGCATGGGCAGAGCCAAGGGGTGGCCAGGGGTGGCACAAACCAATGCCCAAAATCTGATTGACCACCCTAGTGCCAACCCTGCCAGAATCAAAATGTGATGCTTGTCAGTATTAATGAATAAAAAATGGAAAACAATGACAAATTGTTGCCTTAAATACAACTAACATTTTCTGATGCTTTATAATTGATATTGGTTAAATTATTTTTAGTCTATATCATGCATGCAGCATGATATTTGCATTCATTTCTCCAATTGTGTTGTTGTGGAGTACTTGGCATGATTCGCCGGAATAAGGGGGACCACTGTGTAGCAGCTATGTCCCTGGCCTGGACTAAATAAGGAGCACAGAAAGAATCGTGTGTGTCATTTTTACACAAACTAAACAATTTGATTCTTAATAATGTATGACTTATTGTTTCATAGAACTAGGGGTTTAATTTACCTTTTACAATAATATTTTACAATGTATTTCAATTGCGCCACCCCTCTCTGAGTCTGTGCCCCAGCCTTGCCAGCCCATCCAAAATTTTCTAGATCTGCCCCTGGGGCTAGACCATCACTGCTCAGGAAAGGAGTGTTGCCAGCAGTTGTGTTTATGCCTTTGATTTGATTAACATAGCTGTAGTAACTTTTTGTTTTACTGATCAAGAAATACATAAATAACAAAAATGAAAAAGCTATATTGTGTTTACTATGGACTTTGTAGTGATTGTTGGTACAAATATATAATTTCCCCTTATATGTACAGTCTTGGAGTTGTATTTACAATGTTATTAAATATTGGCACTTTTTGTACTAATGATTTAATATGTATACTGTCCTTGTTACATAACAGAACTAAAAGCTAGTAATTATACTTCTGTACCATTGTAGATACTAGTTAATTATTGCATTTATTTAAATATAATTGTTTTATTTAAATTATATGTAATTACTTTTTAATTAATCAATATTTACAACTAACCAAATAAATATTAATAACTATACTGTAAAATAAAATGCTACCATGCTTGTAGTTTAGCCGTCAAATTGTCAGTCTAAATAAAGGCAGTTTATATATTTCAAGATTCGGATGATTGGGATGTGTCAATTGTAGCAGCTCAGTAAAATGCTACACAGATTTTTTCATCTTTTGCCTCACTATTGTTCATGTATTCCAGAAGCTCAGATAACTGTAATCTGTCATCCTGACCAGAACCATACTACGTAGCTCAATTACTTGTGATTCTAAATCGAACCAATGGATTTGTTATTTACAGCGCATTCATCATAAGAGCACCAAAGACAGTTTTCAGTATATATACAGCTCAAAATGTAAGGTGTAACATAATACAACAGTGTAGTGCAGATGATCATTTTCAGCACAGGCCATTCTGAGTCCATCCCGTTCAGTTTTGTTCCACTGTGTTGTGTTCCATTACTCCAGCACACTATTAATAATCACATCATTAAGTTTCATCTGTGGTGTATGAGTCCTGTCTATGCCATTCAAATCTGATGTGATTTCAGTTAGTCCATTCTAAACCACTTAAGTCTGTTTTTGTTCTCTGAGACCAGCCCAGTTTGGTTTGAGTCAACTGGATATTTTTTAATATACAGTGTATGTTTTGTTGCATACATTTATATTCTCCATTGCAGTACCATCTTTGTTTTTCTCTTGCAAACTATCTTTACTGCAGATATGCCCTGTGCTAGTTTAATTATAAGAAGTCTTGTTCCCATGTATGCATCACTATTCAATATGCACTGTACATTAACAGCTGATGTAGTCTGTAAACCAAGTCCTGCACATCTATAGGAACTGTCAGCCCACTGGAAGCTGTGTTTGAATTATTATACAAGGTTGCTCTGTGCTTAATTAGTTTTGTCCTCATAATTTTACCAAGGACACATTTGGAAGGTGACTGGCATTGATTTTTTTTCTGTTAAGATTTGCAGTTCCCCATATATAAAGATTATTTATTTTGGTCAAACATTTATCAGCGCAAGCTGTTTTGTTAATCTTAACAGAAATTAGTGTGGTATTTTCTGTACATTTCCTAATGTACACTGTAAATGTTACCTTTACCTGTCACTAACAGAATGAGCCCAACAGTTTTGTCTATAGAAGGGAGGTTTGTAAGTTTTAACAGTTTCAGGCAGGATTGCTGAAAAGCACCTCAGGGCATGAGTGAAATGTTAACTTTACCGGGAAATGAGATTAGTGTTAATGTACATTACAGTATTGTTGTAAAGTATGAAAGCTAAGGACATAGGACACTGACTGAATGTGATTATTCAATGTTCAACATCCTTCAAGCACCCACTGAAAATGTGACTAGAGGAGTTAAGGCAAATCTCTCCTAGTCAGCTCAGATTTACTAGCGACAGGCAGCAGAATCTCCATCCCTGATGAGGAATGACATTTTAGCAGTTGGAGCCAGCAGGTGTGTAGTTACTCAGTTCCCTGCGAATGGTACTGAACGGTGACAGCTCCAGCTCAGTGGTGCATTCATGTTCGTTATCGTCACTGGCCGTGGCCGAGGAGGACGCATGGTTACAGCAGCAGCAGCAACAGCAACAGTCCAGGAAGGCTCTGCCCAGGGGCCGACATAGCAGGAGCAGCAGCGCCGGCGTCACAGCGGCCCGACAGAAGAGCAGGAGCTGGGAGAGAAGATGGAGGACAGACATGGTGTGCTCAGGAACACCGGCTGCCATGTATTCGGAAACTATATTGCAGATGTTCTCAGGCACTACACATGCACCGTAGACAATTGCCAGTGCCACAACGGTGCAGTTCATCTGGCTCTCCAGCCGAATCTGCTTCTTGTTGCTGCGCACGCTCGCTTGCTCTGCACGCCTGATCTTGTGTGCTGTTACCAAAGAGCACCCAATGGTAAAGAGGGTTGGGAGGCAAAAGTAACAGCCAAAGCACCACCACAGCCGAGCACCCTCATAGGTCAGGCCTAGCACGTACAGCATCTCAGGAAGTGAAGTGGAAATCCTGATAATACAATGTTCAACAGGTGGCTCGCCTGGGATTCCTGTGTCCTCTGCCACCAGTTGTCGGATAAGAAGCTCCGGGAGGGCCAAGAGGAGGGCACCAATCCAGATGACAGCCAGCTTGGTAGTAGTGGAGGTGCAGTTCTCAATCATCTCATAGTACATCTGGACATTGGTGGCTGCACGGAAACGGTCGATGCACAGAGCGCACAGGGTGAAGGTGGTCACCCCCAGGGAGGCCACCTGAGAAAACAAAGAGAAATTCATCAGACTCAAAGTACACTCATTTGTATTGGTGGTTTGCAGGAGCTTTATTCAAATGAATCTTGGTGCCTCAGGAACACTAATTATCTCTTTAAACACTGTGCACAAAACTGCACATAGCTGTAAGGGAGAATAACAGAGAAAAAAGTGAGCCTCAAAGCTACAATAGTGATAATGTACTGTACAATAATTTCACTTCACAGATTGGCTAGCTGCGTGCAATACTGATGTTTTTCAACTAACAGCCAAGGCTCTCAGGTTAATGAATGAAAGAATAACAAGGAATTGACAGCCAGTGTAGAGAAGTCTGTTGCACTTGCAGAATCTTACTGATAGCCTGCAGGTAAAGTAAACAAAAAGACTCCCCCTGCAGCACATATAAACAGCCACCACCGCGTAAAGAACAATAAAGGGCAGGACACACAGTAATGGTTTTTGGCTTTAAAGTAGGTGCACCCGACACTTGTGTAATTGCAAACAGTGGAGCAACAGAAGCATGATGCTGCTATTAATACTGTGTAGTAGAGCTGTAATTCTTAGCTCGAACCCGACCCGACCGTCGGGCACCCGACAGGTCGGGCTTAATTTCTACCATTTTTACTCAGGCCGGGCTTGGGCTCGGGCTCGTGCGTTGAGTGGTCACATGGTGCGTTTCAATTAGCGCGAGAAAGATGCATTGCGAAGAATGAAGGTGGATGAGGTGAAACAAAGGCTTGTCTCTGGCGTATATTTTTTGGTTACACCAGCAGCAGCTAAGTCTGAAGTGTGGCAACATTTTGACGAGAACAATGACCCAGTGGGTTATGTAAAATGCAAGAAATGTAATGTTCTCTTAAAATACAAGCTGTGTGCGTGCGCCGTGCGCACATTTGAATAATGTCAGGCTGTAAACGGATTCGGGTTGTCAATCAAAAATGTACTTGTCGGGATTGGGCCGAATTTTGTCGGGCCTAACTTTTCAGGCCCAATTACAGCTCTACTGTGTAGCATCCCTGGATAAGTGTGTGCATGTCAGAGAAAAGAAGGCACTGATACCCTCTCCTAATGAGAGGGTGGATTAAAAACTAACTCATTCATATGCATCGTCACACCTCCTGTTTAATGATAGTCTTAAGTAACAAACTTCCTGAACATCCCACTGTTTACCTTTTAACGTTGCACACAACATCTTCATGTTGCAGCTAATTACCTGGTATTGCTGTCACATTCTGTGCAAATTGTGAGAGTGCACAAATTTACTCAGCATGTGAAAGCATCTGTTGGATTAACATCATTTTGGCAGGAATGGGCACCCTCTGCAGCTGGAGTGTGTTTGTGTCAGCATGAGTGTGTGCATACTTCTGTCCTTACATGAACCAGTGTCTTACATGATTTTTCCTCCAGCACAAAATCTGCCAGAAGAGCAAATGATCTTCCCCATCCTCCATCCTGTCTAACCTTGCTCACCTTTTCTCTCTCACACTTTATATCCTCACATCTCTTTTTTTCTCCCTCAGTCCTCACCCTCTCTTCCCCTTTATTGCACCCCATTCCCTTCCGTTACACCTCTGTTCCTCCCTTCATAACAGACTTAATTACAACAGCCAGCTTCGCAGATGGCCTCAGTGAGCCACGGCTTTAGTGCTCTAAGCATATACTTCCTGGACAGATATAGATGTACACACACTTCAAAATGCTCTGGGTAGCTAGGCCTGACACACACACACACACACACACACATGCTGTGTTTTCATTCCTTGTGGGGACTTTACATTGACTTACATTCATTTCCTGTAGACTTATCCTAACCTTAACCATAACCGCTACTTGCCTAACCCTAACCCTGACCCTAATATTTAACCTAACCCCAACCCCACCCTAACCTTAAACCTTGTTGCCACCCTAAAGTTCAGGATGGCCGAGTCCCCAAAATGTGAGTGTGTTAACAGGTTTCGGTCCCCATAATGTAAGTAATAGGCATGCATGCACACATTGGTCCTCTGACACATGTAGAGGTCTTGTCCATGGTAATGAAGGGTGACCAAACAAAAGAGCGTGGAGTAAGTGGCTCCAGTTCTCTGCCATAACCGCTACTTGCCTAACCCTAACCCTGACCCTAATATTTAACCTAACCCCAACCCCTTCTGTCAAGCCATGTCTTGTCACCATAATTGCTGTGAATTGTTTCAAAATTTTGCCAAAGCCGAACAGTCATTATACATTAAATATTTAAGTGATGCATTGTTTTCAGCACAACTTGGATCAATGTAAGCCAACTACTTTCATGTGTGGTTTATTCAATCTCTGGAGGCATTAATCTTTTAGATAATCTGGGCAGATGTCAAAATTTGAGTGCAATTGGCAGTTAGCTTAGAAAACCACACACCAAAAATCAAATCAATGCAGGAGACTGTGCAGTAGCCTTGAGCTAAGCAAGGTGCATTTTAGGTACATTTTAAAGAGCTCATGTTTTTATTGCAGTAGCTACAAAAATTTTGCATTTCTGATAAGGTGTTTTATTTCTTTATTCTTATAGCTAAAGAAGCATCACATCAAGCTCCACGTGAAACCTACAGTACTTCTTTCTCATAAACACACAGACTACAGTAGGCACACCTGTATTCCCATATATGAATGAATATACTGTAAGAGAGTGTGCACACACATCCACATAAACAGGTGCTTGCACGCTGACTGTTTCACGGCTTGAATAACAGGGCTGGAATGACTTTAAAGGCTGTCATGGAGGACCAGTAAACCCAGCTTTGATCAGCATGTTGGTGCGGAGAGCAGTGGCAAACAAGCGTGGCTTTGTGCTGGAGGGAAGATGAGAGAGAGAGAGAGTGCAAGAGTCAGACCTGGTGGGGTGATGGTGTGGAAGGGGGTTATGCAAAAGAGGGACAGAAGAAGAATGGAAAAGGAAAAAGAAACAAATGAGTGAGTGGGAGAATCCAAGAATGAAAGACCTGAGAACAATAGCAGGGCAGCACAGCAGTACATAGCCCAAAGTGACAGGAAGAGAGGAATGATTAAAAATGTTAATGTGGCCTTTCTTGGCAGCACGGTGGCGCAGTGGTTAGCGCTGTTGCCTCACAGCGAGCTGGGGTCGAGCCCCGGCCAACCTGGGGCCTTTCTGTGCGGAGTTTGCATGTTCTCCCCGTGCTTGTGCGGGTTCTCTCCGGGTGCTCTGGCTTCCTCCCACAGTCCAAATACATGCAGCATAGGTTGATTGGTGTCTCTAAATTGCCTGTAGGAGTGCTTGTGTGTGGTTGTTTGTCTGTGTGTTAGCCCTGCAATGGGCTGGCGACCTGTCCAGGGTGTACCCTGCCTTTCGCAGCTGGCTGGGATTGGCTCCAGTGACCCCGTTTGGGACTAAGCGGTTTAGAAAATGGATGGCCTTTCTTCCAAACAGCAGCCCTGACCCTGCAATGTTCATTTATCTGCTGGCAAGATAAAAGGCCTACCTCCCTTAGGGTTCTGCCACTTAACCCTTTGTAAAACCAAAAATTGTGGTTTTTAAACTGCCTTTATTTTACAGCTTTGGTTACCTTTAGACTGAACCTAGCTGTTTCCACCCTGTTGCTAGTGTTAATGCCAAGCCCAGCCAGCCTGACAGCTGGTTGTAGTTGTATTTTTATTGTACAGATGTTGATCTTCTCATTTAACTCTCTGCAAGAAAAGCCAATAAGTATTTTTTCCAATATGTATAAGTACTGATTACTTGCCATTAACTGACTTGTAAAGTAGCTTGGTACAGTTCATATTGTTGTGTCAATCACTGGGCTAGGACCCAAAATACAGACCAGAAAACGGAGGTGAGTGAGAAGAACATTTTACTAAGGTTTAAGACAGTTCACACAGTGGCAAATTATAGACAGGTGAGGTGAGCTGAGCTGATGCTGACTGGATGCAGGTTTACTAGGGCTGGGGCGAGGCAGGTAGAGTCGAGCTGGAGAAGATGGGCAGAATAGAACTGTGGCGAGGCAGGAGAAGTAGGGCTGAGGCAAGGCAGGTGGAGTAGAGTATATATGGGTGAAGGACTGGGGACTAACTAGCGACAGAAGAGATCATTGAATGCTGATTGGGGACTATGGTGAAGCTGGGTCAGGAGAGGTGGAGTGGAACAGGAAAGTCGACCCAAAATAAAACCCCGAAAATAGGAAGCAAGTCCAATTAATAACACATATCATCTATTTCTTCTCAACCCATGACTTCAATGCTTCAAAAAAAAGGACATTAAAAGGCCTTTCATCCGCTATGTGTTTTTTAGGTTCTGGTCATCTATCAGCGCAGTAGGTGAGAAAGACATTTTCCCCTTGTGCTGTTTTTAATAAAAGCCTATTAACTCCCTGATTAAAGGTCTTGAGAGCTGATGGCACGAAGGCCTTTTATTATTAATTGGGTCTTAACAAGGACTGGTGGAGCCTGTGTGCCCATACTGTGACTATAGCTACTGACAGAGGGAATGGTATGCTATCAGGTGATGAATGGCCTAATGTGGAGACACAGCAATGCACATAGTGAAGGAGACAAAGGGTTATTCCACCTGCAGTCCTCTTCCTATGTTCTGGGCATTACCCAGTGCAGGCTTCACTAGAACATAACTCTAACCAGAGAGACCCTACCACTGACAGCCACCATCCGTCTACCAGCTGGCTGAGAGGGAAAGAAATGAAGCGTCTGTGCTTGTTCACATGTATGGAGGTTTAGTATAATATGTATTTTGTGTATATGGTTAGTGTGGATACATACGAGTGTGGGTGTGTGTGGGACTATGGCAGACAGACTGGCTAAATCCATCCTTGTGGGTTGATGTTAGAGTGTAGAACAACTTCTTGTCTCTTTGTTACTGTATCTATTATATTGTACTGTATCTTAGCTTGAAAAGTTCCACTTGTTTCCACAGCTTTCAACCGCATTAAATAGTGGCAAAAATGTGAACTATCCTGACCACAAACTGTAGCTGAAAGCTTTGTAAACACTAAGGGGGGTATTTACTA